AAACCCAAACAAACAAAAAAAACCCCCCACTACTTATTTACATCAATAAATAGGATTTTCCAAAATTATCATATACATTTACCTTGACTTCAAGAATAAAAATAGTCTCCTGGCTTTGGAACATCTTATAGTAAAATAATGATTGATGTTAGACTGGTCAAACAAGATAATCAGAGGTCTCTTCAGGTTTGAAATATATCTACATAGCTATACATTTAAAATGTGATCTATGTAGACATATGTGTTTTTAAATTCAGGTATTTAAGATTATTTGAAAAGTGCAATTCTAACAATTCACATCATGATTTTATCAAATTGTTATCTAAAAGCACTGAGAAAAACACATGATTTCCTCCATGTTAATGTTAAATGTTGCCAACAAGCCCTTAGCACGAATCATAAAACTGCCTGAGTTAATTCAGCACTATTATCTTTAGTCTGCATAGGTCTACCATTTATCACCTCCCTGACAGATACTATCATTCTAGCTAAGGAATGAGTGTAATGGGGATCTAGGGCCAAAGGACGATAAGCTCAAACTAGAAGAGGGGAGGCTTCTTCAGCATCAACAAAAAACCACACATTTTTCATAAGAAGTGTATGGTTTGCATGAAAGGAATATAAAATTAAGAAGCCTCACTAGAACATATAGGCAAATATGACTTATATGTCTTATGCATATGTAATTTAACAAGATGCAGAATTCTGGACACCAAGACTAATGCTGTGAGTGAACAGCAACTACATGTATACTTCTTTTACTTGCAAACATAGGAGAACACATCTTTACTGAAAAAAAAAATAATACTTTTTATATGCCCTTTTTGTTGGCATAGTTCCAATGTTCTCCTTCAGAGTTGTAGCCAGGGTTAAAAAGAAAAAGATGTTTCTGGGCAGGCAATTCAGTAATTTTTTATGGCAATGTTTCTCCTGGCAGTGGGCTCAGTCAGAAACACAATTTGGTTTTCAAGAGACCAGTGGTCTCAACTGTTTAGAAGTTCTCAATGCATTATCCAAATTTTCACCGCAAATTTTCCTTCTCCAGCAGAACACAAGTGGCATACTTCTTGTGTTTTTTTCTTCTTTCTTGCTCTCTAGATGGAGTATAAGCACTCAGTCAATTGACTTGCTGTTATTTGTAAACAACAGTACCAATTTGTGCTCAAATGTTTGTGCAGTCTGCACAGCATCTTGTGCCCCTTAATCCTTTTTTTCTTTTAAGTTGCTGCTCATCCCCTCAGCATCTCTTGCTTCCCTTCCTTTGTAAGGCTAGAGAAGCTGTTTCAGCCTCACTATACTAACAGACCTCCATTTCTCAGGCTTTCACTTATAAATGTCTGTAAATTGTTGGCCCCCTACCTCTTCAGAATACGCCTGTCTTCAAAAGCAGGGAGATCTCCCCTTCATCAAAGAGGGATCAAGGGAGAAACCCTTCTAACTGTTTCCCTGGCAGTGTGGCCAACCCTTTGCTCTCTCAGCTGTATGCAGCTAGTCGGGTTTACCTCTGCCTTGCTAAGACATTTTCAAGCTTTGTTGGCACACAGCTCTCAAGTCAGCTGTGGAGCTTTTCAGCTCTTCCCCTACCACCACAGTAGCATTGTTTGGAGCTGCACTGCTTTGGAGAAGACCTGACCTTTGGATGCAGACCCAAATGCTGACCTCTAGTCTACATTGACTGCAGATGACTTTCTCATTTAAATTTATTATTATTTAGACTAAGAATGGACTTATTTCTGGGTGTCCCATGTTCCAGATCAGTTCTGAAATGGTCTTTCCTCCCCAGCAAATAATTCTGATACTTTTACATGTCAATGGAACAACATAATTCACTGAAAATCCATTTTGTAAAATGTCTCCAACCAGATCTGGCTGTAAGATCTGTATGCACTGAGTTGCAGCTCATACCATATTGTGAGAATTTTACCTTCATATCTCCATTCCTTTAAAAAAGTTAGTCCAGAAGAAAGTAACTCAGAAAGAATACTTATTTTCCTGCAATTTGTACTTATTATGGTGATAATTCATTTGGAGATGTTGCCAGCTCTGGTAGCATCTTTAGAGATTCATCAAATTCCACACTGATATTTGTCCAATCAACTATTTCTCTTTAAATTAATAGAGGATAGGACTCAAATTCAGCACTAAGATATCTATGTACTTTGTGGTTGTGATACCTGTGAATATTGAAATATTAATATCAATTCAAGCAATTAGAGCCATTGATCAATAGATGTAACCAAACAAAAGGGAAATCATTGTAACTTAGAAAATAATTAGTTGTTAAGATAAGAAGATCTGGAACAATCTCAGTTTAAACAGCTCGGCCTTGGAAGAACAGATGCGCAAAGATAAGAGAGTTACAAGGTGATCCCAAAACCAGCCTTGAGGGATAAGGTATATGTGATACCAGGACTGAGTCTGAAGACCCCCAACGACCAGCTGACCAGCCGGAGGTGCCAACAAACATGCGCAAAAGACTTTAGCATATGCTAACGAGTTCCCGGAAAATCCATGAATGTGATAAGCACTACTCGGAAATATACTGAATATGTATATTAACATAGTATAAATACTTGCTAGTTTTGTCTTTTGGGTGTGCACGTTAGGTGGAGTAATCCCCTGTACACCCAGCACTGCAATAAAGAATGCCCGCTTTCTAAAACTTCAAAATAAGTCTTAGAGAGTGCATTATTTTGCCACTTTCCAGTAACAGTTGCATGCATGAACAAAATAGCAATAGACTTAATTCAGATGTGGGTAGTTCAAAGTTCAGACTTTTCATAGTGCATTCAACTTCCTTCCACAAATAGATTCTGATAAAGGTTCATCTACAATGTTTTTAGCCAAAAGCACTATTTATTTTTTTTATTCCTGACGTTTAAATATTTTAAAACACCATTTTTCTTCATTCACAATAAAGACAGTTCCTGCACGCTGTCAGAATGCATAGTAATTATTTATAATGGTTTGTTAGTATTCTTTTTGGTGGAAAATGCAGTTTATCTCATTTTCTCACTGGATGGGATATGATTATTGATGTGATATGATATCATTTTAACTCTCAGGACTCTCAGGTGTTTTTTGATCCATATGAAAGTTATGAACAAACAAGTTCTATCCTTCTTAAATCAAAATGCTTATCTGGATGGGCTCTCCTTAGACATAAAAATGACAGCCATTAGTATTATGTTTGGCAACTGACAATTTTGTATTTTATATCCCATCTCTCTCATTGAGAAACACATTTAACTGATGACTCACATGCAAAGACAGAATTTTGAGGAAAACAGGTAACACTAAGGGGTTTTCATATATATCACAGCAAATCAGCCGTCAAGAAATCAACATCCCTTTCTTGGACTAGTTTTCAGAAATACAGAATAAACCAAGATCTCAATGCGAACAAGATAAAGAATGCATTAAGCTACCTGACTTATATCACTCGTCCATGCAGCTTTCTCCTGTTGTGATGGGGCTAAAAGGACAACAGTAAAGGGAGGAGCATCCATAGGTTCAACTACAAGCTTGAAATCAAGGTGTCCAAACACTTGTCCAGAACTTTTTGCTTTATAGACAGAAGGGGAAAAAAAGTCAAAATGTGAGATTTCAGATTGTAAGACAAAGAAAATAATAGTTTAATTTAAAATGGAGGTTACTTTAAATCATCTCTCTGACAAAGAGCAAATCCAATGGGGGATCTAAAACTCATTTTGGTTTTCACATACACCAAATACATAAAAAGTTGCAAACATGCAATAGTGGGAGTATATCACTTTTAAAGATACCAAATAAGGCTAACGTCCTTGTGACACTTCTACACTGATACACTCTCAGCATAAAGTATCACTGAAATTAATGAAACTACTTTCACAATTCAAATGTAAAACTTGCCTAAAACTGCAGCATGGAAGCAAAAATAAGTAACAAAAAATCAGCTTGGGAATGTGGTTTGTTATTTCATTTGACCAATCTTGCAGTCAAGATTTGTGGGGAGCTCAAGACAAAAAGTTTCCACTAATTCTGCCAACTCATTCAACCCCCATGTATTTAAGAAACCCAACTATCTGCTGCGTCTTTTAAGGAGTATTTTTTTCTTTCCAAAATCCTCTGGGTGAAGTTGTGTACAAAAGTCAGCAAATAATTTGTCACATTTCTCTAGCCAGTCTACTTGAAAATGCTATGTGGGACATCAACACCAAGAACAAACATAACAAAACAAACCCTTATGCAAGCCAGCATGCCCATTACTAAAACATCTATTCTACTCAATCAGTTCAATGTTGTATTCCTCTGGTTTCATGAAAGAGGAGAACATATCAATTTGCTCTTATGAAAAATAAATAAAGGGTACCAATTTTAAGAAACTAGAAACTGTAATTACTACAAACAGCTGAATTTAACTTACAATCATCATCACCCGTTTCTGTCTCCTCAATCAGTGTGCACTCCATTAAAGACAGAACACCTCCTGTCTATGAAAACAAAGCACATTTTTCACAAATTTTGACATTTGTTCCCATTCCGTCATTATAGTTATTTTTAAACTTTGATATACCTTACTCTAAGATTTTACATTATTCAGAACTCTTAGGAAGATACATCAATTTCATGATGCAAATTTTTCCTCAGGAACTAAACCTGGGTAGGTTAAATATAATGTTCTTCTTAATCCAACAAATCAATAATATACTCAAATATATAAAATTTCTTTCATTTTTACCACACCATAATTTATCTGCCATACAGATTTGTTCACAAGTTACAAAAAAGGTAACTAGAATTTCATCTTCTCCTGAATTTAAATCAAATACAAGATTTTTTTTAAAGTTCAGTTATACTCTACTTTTTGCAAAATACTTGAACTATTTAATGGGTGCAAAGTGAGAAAGCATACAAACAGTCTTAATAGCCTCTCAGAAATGTCTTTGTCAAATTAAAATTCTATTCAACATAATCCACTCTGTAAACTACCAACATCTCTTTATTCACAAGCCAACACTACAAAAGAATGATTCTCATCAAATATAACCAGAGTGTTCTTAGAAGAGCTTTCAGTTTAAGCAAATGTGCTCCTCAGGAAAGCAGAATTGGCTTTTAAAATTAATTTTTAAAGCTCTGGAAAATAGTCTTTGTTAATTCCATGGGGTTGTACTGGCTGATTTATGCACTGAAAACTGACTTACATTCAGTGCTAGCTTATACAAACAGACACAGCAATGTCTTATTTCTAACCCCCAGCTTATTGGAATTACATGGATCTAGAAAAAAAATGTAGTTAGTAAGAACTCTGGCTGAATTCTATTATTTGCATTGAGAAGACAAAGCAGTTAACTACTGTGCATCACCTCACTTCTGTTTGTAACAATACATGCAAACCTCAGGTTAAAACCATAAAATAATAAAATATTGAAATTTTACTGAAGCTGTGTTTTCATTTTGTCTATTGAGTCATAATGTAAAGTTTGTACCTTGAGAAGATGCAGTTTTCCTCCTGAACTTCTTGTACAAATTAAAAAATGTTTTGTAAATAAGAAGCACTGTCTTTCTCCTTCTTTCTTCAAAGATAATGATCCCAGGCGAACTTTACTAAGTTTTCCCCTCTCAACTGAAGGGACTTGAATGAGGGAACCTGATAATAAAGATGCAAAATTTAGTGTACTATAATAATACTTAGTAGGCAGTGTTTAAAGTGTTAATGTATTGAATATTATATTAATTAATGCAAATTTCCCTTCTACTAAGTACCAACAGACATCAGCATCAGCTTTAAGCACAAGTCGATCATCTGCTTTCGCACAAATTCTCTTTGTTTTTTATGATAAATATACTCTAGTAAGTACGGTCTAAACTAATACTTATGTACATGGCAGGATTACATCTTGGACAAATTCTTATGCAATTCGAACACACTAATAGCACACTGATCAGAAAATGAAGCTGAACAGCAAACTCTGCTTTTACAGCTGCTAGGTTTGCAAAAGTTACATTACTTACAAGTCAAAGAGACAGAGGATGAAAAGAACAGGTTTTGAAGGAAAAAAGTCTGTGCCTGTGTGCAAGAGAGATGGAAATGAAGCACATTTTTTCTTATCTTATACTGCATAATTTTCAGTGCTCCACAGCTCATCCAAAATGTGTTACCAGTAAAACACTTCTGAACTAAATTGAACCTGGTTACATAAGTCTGAATTTGTGCTCTGCAGAAATCCAGACTGGGGACAGCTTTGCTTCTTTGCCGTTTTGTACCTCAAAGCCAGTCTCTGACCAACTTTTCCAGATTGATATCACCATGTGTATCACTTCTGAATTTGGATCTGGAGTTAAATTTGGTGGTGAAGTGCAATTCCTCTATATATCAAAGGGAAAGATTTTATGATACAACTTGCTGTTACCAGACAGGGCAGCCAAGAGACCTCGTAATCTCATTCCCACACATCTATCCTTACTATCACCCTTACACTGGCTCTCATCTTATTCCAACGTTAGTTAGCTAATAGAGCTAAACCAGCAGGAAACTAATGCTACAAAGAAGCAGCCAACTTAGCTCCCTGATACGCCTCACTGCAAAGTCAAAAAAGCACCAGTGATGATGCAATGGAAGTAACAGCAGCAGAACAAGCAGGAGGGGATGGATATTGGCCTGCCTCTTTCAAAGGCAACAACATACTGGACTAGCACAGCTCTATCAAAGCTCAAAGTAGCGGCAGCATCTTGACACAATGCATAATTATCCATGAAGTACTAGATTAGTAATTCTTACTATACATTGTCAAAAACAACTATCTTGCTCAAAGTTCACATACACAATCTTAAACTAACAACCAGAGAAATTAAGGTAACTGAGAAAGCTACTGCTTATCTACATTTTTCTACACTTAGCTCCCCCTATATACTTAATTAGCCTTAAGTTATTAATATATTTGAAACTTATACTGTCTGGCATAGCAAAATATACACCAGTAAATCTGAAACAGAACAGTGTTGACAGCCAATTCACATTTAAACTAAATGTGTACAACGTGATTTGTGTCACTGCAACAAAACAGAGGAGTAAAGTTATACTCCAGAGATTTGCAAAGATCTGGAACATTTTCCAGGTTCACTTAAATTCTGACCAAAATCCATAAATACTTACAGGTTGTTGTACATTTCCCCTGGACAAAACAGCCTACCTGCCTCAGCTGTGAAAGACAGGAAGGAGACCATTCCCATCTGTTGGAATGGTGACTTTTCCATGTTATACCAACTGCCCCCTAGGTACCATTAGAAGGCCAAGGAGTGTGTACAAAGCAATTCCCAAGCAACTTCCCATCACAAAATTCTCAGCATCATTTTTCTCCTGAAATTCCCTCTACACATTTAGGTTAATAATACTCAACCTGTATGTTTAATTTCTGCTTTGTTTCTTAGAATAACAGTATCTATAAATATGACACACTTACAGATACAGGTTTACAGGTAGCTTTTATTTTATTGTTTTGATTTTCATCAGAATGCTTTCAGGAATACCATATTCTGTTCTGCTAAAATGTGCTGAAGGTTAAATGGTGTTCTTGAAGAGAGCTGAAATGCTATTGTTTAATAAACTAAATAAAAATAAACTGGATTTTTTAAATGTAGAAAAGAGAGACTGTGTTATCTCACTTTGATACTCAATATGTACAGAGAGAAACACAGCTCCTATACGTGCAGAATGGCTGACATCAAGCAATGACCTCATGCATTCCCATCAAGCTTTTGTGATTAATGAAACTGGGCATTTGCCCACAATGAATTCTACTACAGATTTCCTCTTAAGGAAAAAATGGTCATGATTGGCCAATGTACAGTTGCAATGAGCAAGTGATGCTAATTGTAGAACATTCGTTAATAGTATAGTTTTGATGATCAGTGTAATCTCAGGAATTGGGGTTGGAACTAGACGATCTTTGAGGTCCCTTCCAACCCAAACCATTCTATAACTCTATGATTCCATCAATTTTTATCCAGCTACAACAGACCTAAGCACTTTCAGTACTTCAATACTGCCAGAATAGTCACTCTATTAGCCTTTGTTCAATCCATGAAATACAAAAGGTTGTATTTTTAGCCTACATGTAACTGTCTGATTTACAAATTCAGTTTGGCTTTCTTCATTCTGGAGGTCTTTTAGTTTTACTGTAAGGATGGTCAAGCACTGGAATAGGATGCTCAGAGAGTCTCTGGAGTCGCCATCCTTGGAAACTACCAAAACTCGGACTGGACATGGTACAGAGCAACCTGCTCCACCTGATGCGGCTTTGAACCGGTAAGATTGGACTGGATAATTTCCAGAAGTCCCTTCCAACTTCAGCTATTTCCTGATGTTGTAATTGTGATATATTTATCAGTACAGGTAAATTCACAGCAGCTGATGGCAGGATCAGACTGTTTAGAGACTTCTAAAGGCTTTGAGATGCCTAGTTGTCTGGGTGTCAGTCAATGTTGGATTGCAGATTGAGACTCCCTATGTTCCCTTTAGACTCTTAAAGAAAATCTTCCTTAATTGTCTGCCATGACTTACAGTGTGCCTGACAATAAAGTCTGTATCTAAGTAAGAGACAGAGAAAAGCAGACCCTGAGAAACCTGAAGGGGAATCCACAATGTCCACTGCAAAGCACTGCCAGGGATAGTTCCTATGGTCTCAACTTGCACAGCTCAACAAAATCAATTTCTTCTTAGAAAAGTAAAGTATATAACATATGGCAATGTTGTAATTATCCTTCACAGAAAAAGCCTGAAGTAAAGGCACCTCTCTCCTTTTTTAAGCTGAAAAGAGCTTTCCTGTACCCATCTATACTGACCAACACAAAGAATAAGAGCTTAATTGAAATTAGAGGAGATGGACATCACTGTCAAAGTGATCATGCTGCCTGATGTGAAAGAAAAACAGGCTCTGTATTCCTTCATTAGCTCTGTTCAGATTTCTGCACTTCACACAAAATCACATGCAGTGGATGTTCCGAAAGATAAACTGTGATACAGCCTTCTGCAACATACAGTCTTGTCCACTGTGCTTTGACTGTATGCCCAGAAATAAATCTGAATTTAATTTATTTAAACTATGGGTTTGACCTGGGTCTAACACTCCAACAGTAATCTTTTTCAGACTGATTCCTGCAGAAAAAATAACAAGTTTTTACTGATGAAACATGGTACACAGACAAAATAATACCAGCCAATTGTAAGGGGAAAAACCACAACAAGTATATAAATACTGTAATCATCCTGGAAAAAAAATCTGAAATTTAATTAAATTGCATGGTACAAGTCAGTCTAGGATAATCACAGCCCTATAATTTTTTCGCTGTGGGTACAACACAACAGCTTCATATTTTTCTCAAAACCATATTCATAACCCTTTAAATACCTCAGTTATAACAAATGCATACATTTAATGAAGAATCAAGTAATGTAACAGTGATTGTTGTACAAACAAACTTGGAAGTTATTACAAAAAGTTTCACAGTTTGGCCACATGACTACAGAAACACCACAGAATGGATTTCAAAATGTATACGAAGTCTATTAATTACCATCTGTGTATAAGGCTCTGTTAAATACCAAATGACAGCTGAGGCTATCTAGAAAAGGTCTCATGAAGGGATGTACCTAAATTACATTCCTAAGCTTTCCTAAATACATTTAACGTTTTTCAGACACAAAGAAGCTTTCATCCAGTCAAAACCCTATGCTACAGATCTGTAGTTACTGTATACAAACCCAATAACTTGTTTTAGAAGATCCAGAAGTAAATTATTATATAAATGGGAGAAAAATAAGCTTCAGTTATGAAGCTTCCACATTTGCTAGTTTAACATGAAATTAAACCCCATCAAATAAGAACTGCAACCAATTTGCAGTTCCTGGTAAAAAGTGGCCCTTATTTTAAGTGGAAAAGGTATTTTATCACAATTTTGTGGAACTTAACAACAAATTCCACCTCGGCTGTAACTAAGTTTCAATAGAAAGAGTTTCAAAACCCACCAATAATAGACAGAAAAGAACAGAGTAATGGCTCTTTACCCTTTCCCTCTTCTTTTGCTAACTATTATATTGAGTGGTTCAGAATTCCTGGCAGAACAAGATGCCTTTTCTTCATGACTCCTTCTTGCAGAAGTGCTTTTTATATCTATCCTGAACTTCTACTAAAGCCTGAAAATGCATCTCTCAAGAGGCAAAATGAGTACGTTCAGGTATTATATTTATGCTTGCACTATCAATTTGAGATGTTTTCAAGAAAAATGGGAAAAACTGGCAGTTCTTATCTTTCCTAGCAATCACTTTACCACTGACAAAGCTTCAATTTTCTCCTGCACTTCTGCACAAATGTTGGCATCAGCTGGGACTGCCAGGTTAACTGGCCAGGCAGCCCTGGTCTCTGTGGAGCTGTTGGTAATTTCTATCCCTTTGGAGATGGACCACACTCCAGGCAGAATGGGTGCTTTATCTTTTTCCATGTGCTGCTGTTTTTCACAGTTCCTGATGAAAACAGCACAGAAGTGGGGTTCAACTACAGCCCACAATTAGTTGTCATCAGGACATTTTGTGACTTACCCTCCATGGACCATGAGTAGTCTCAGGAAGTTAGCTGTGCCCAGGGCAGTGACCTGCCCAATGATGGCAACACGAACCCTGCTGCTTTTAATGACTTTTTTTTCATGATTATATGGATAGCTTTAAAGAAGAATGTCTTACCTTGGCGTATGAAAGTTTGGCTGGTATCTAGTAGTATATCACAGCCTTCTACTATCATTCTTTCTATGGCGAGATTCTTCCGGATGTTTTCTGTGTCACTCACTTCATCATGCATCACCCTGTTAGACACAATACAAAATGCACTTAAATTCCCTGAAATGTATCTTGCACCTGTTGTGTCTGTTTTCACTTGCACTTACACAGTGTAGACACAGAAGGTGGCTGATGTCCTTTGCCACCTGCTACAAAACAGATATATCCATGCAGCACATGATCACGCCAGAGCAAGTTTCTTGCTTATTTTTTTTAACTCCCTTTCAAATAATTCTTTTTATCTTTGTTCTTTTCATTTTTTCAGCAGTGGAACCAATTTTGCCAGAATTGTTTTTAGACTCTTTCTAAACACATCTGACAGATGCCATCAAGCTAAAAACTCTGATAGCTTATAGAATAGTACTTCTTGACCCCTAATAGACTAGGCTGCCACAAACCTGTGTTTCCTAGCACTTTGTATTAGTTGTAACATATTGTAGAGTCCCTGCCCATGACTTTAGGTTCCCACTCTGCTCTGTTTCAGTTTTCATCTCAATGTATCATTCACTCACCCCTTGCTTCCTATAACAACCACAGCCTTGATGGCTCATTACTTACTTTCTTCCACTTTTTTCACAGGCATTCTCCCCTTATACAGAGAAATACAGATTTTTTCCAAGGCTGAAACCAACCCAGAAGTTTATATGGTGTTGTGATGTATGATATTTCCCTAAACTGGGACTGGATTGCTCTAATTGAAAGCTCCTCAGAACTACATTAAAGGAATGGAAATGAGTCACAAAGGTTTATATTTATGGTCTATACTGCCTGCCTTATGAGCAGAGGAGAATCAATCAATCTAAGCCTCCAATTCTGAATGTTCAGTGACGAATTAGTTGGATCAGTAATGAACTCCGACCTATGAGATTAAGCCAAGCCAAAGCTGATTGATCTGCTTGTGGACATAACCCTGACCAGAGAAATTCTCTGCTTTGATTGCATGGAAAGGAGACATTATTTCTTTCTGCTTCAGATGGCCTCAGAACAGGTCAGAACTTGCCAAACACTGCAGGAGTCACACACAGACATTTCTGTAAAAGATACTGCCTGCCCAGCTCTTTAAGAAGTCAGTGCTTGAAGAGATGGCACAACACAAACTAACTCAGAAAGCTGCCTCTGTCAAAGGTACAGCAGGACAACAACAAAAACAATCATCTGCTCCAAACTAACAGGTAGTTTGCACAAGGTAGCAACTTTGTCTTAACAGAAAAAGAAAACTGAGCAGTCAAAAGCATGCAATTAAAAAAAGCTATAGAATCACAGAATCATAGAATCTTTAAGGTTGGAAAAGACCTCTAGGATCATCAAGTCCAACTGTCAACCTAAAACGCCACCATGTCCACTAAACCATGTCCCAAAGTGCCACGTCTACATGCTTTTTGAATACCTCCAGGGATGGTGAGTCCACCACCTCTCTGGAGAGCCTGTTCCAATGTCTGACCACCCTTTCACTGAAGAAATTTTTCCTAATATCCAACCTAACCCTCCCCTGGAGCAATATAAGGTTGTTTCCTCTTGTCCTATCACTTGTTACTTGGGAGAAGAGACCAACACCCACCTCACCAAACCTCCTTTCAGGTACTTGTAGAGAGCAATCAGGTAGGCCTCCCCTCAGCCTCCATCTGTCCAAGCTAAACAACCGCAGTTCCCTCAGCTGCTCCTTATCAGACTTGTGCTCCAGACCCTTCACCAGCTTCGTTGCCCTTCTCTGGACGTGCTCCAGCACCTCAATGTCTTTCTTGTAGTGAGGGGCCCAAAACTGAACACAGCGCTCGATGTGTGGCCTCCCCAGTGCCCTGAGTACAGGGGGACAATCACTGCCCTGGTCCTGCTGGCCACACTATTTCTGATACGAGCCAGGATGCTGTTGGCCGCCTTCTATAAAGCGATCCTTCTTTTACAACCAAGTATTCTTCAAGTACATCTTTGGTCAACACTCCAGATGCTCAAGATTTATATCCTGGAGTTCATGCAGCATTTCTTTGTTCACAGCAGGAAACTGTTTCCCAGAGATAACAACCAAATTTCTTACTGAGCTGACAGAGGGGAACATCTGAGAACGGTCTGGGAGTTCAGGGAAGAGCTTCATTTTGCAGGTTTCTACAGGGAGCATCTGTTCTCAAAATATATCTTTAGTTCCTGTTTATCTGACATTACTTGAAGCATATGTGAAAATCGGTTATTTCATTAATGCATGTAAACTATAACACAGCTTGAGAACTCAGTACTTTTCAAGACCCTGATTGATTCCCCTTGTCACAGAGTACTGGAGATACCCTTTTTCTTTAAACTATGAAAAAAATATATATTCCTCTATGTAAATAAAATTGTTTTGCTCATAATACAGCAGCAGGTGGTTCCTATAACAACTCCTATTCTCCCCTGCCCAAAATACAAGGAGACACTTGTAGATTTATGTTATCAAAGAAAAGAAAAAAAAAAAAGCCAAAATAGTAGGTTGGGGTTGGTTTTTTTTTTTTATTATTATCTTTGTTTTGTTTTGGTTTTGATCCTTTTCTTTAAAATAACTTTTAAAAAAAGAACAAAACCAAGCCAAAATAAAGAAAACAGATTTTTAATTTCAAAATCTTTGATTCAAGATTAGCAAACGTAAGGTAGAAAAATCTTACCTTGAAAGTTCTTCTAGTTTAGATTTAGCAAATTCAAGGCTTTTTCGCTCAATATGTTCATGTGGTGTGTGAGCCAGAAGTTCATGAAGTGTTATAATGTATCTCGGAATCTTAAAACAAATTAGGTATAAAATCAATAAATCCTTAAAGGAATAATTCCAGTACAGCTTTTTGTTAAGTATTAGCCATTATCTTGGTCAGAAAAGTTTTGCAAGCATAGTCTTTTTTAAATGAGTATCAACAGCTTAATGATTACACGCAGATTCTAAATGTAACTACTGCCAAAAATATTGAACTTTTGCGTGATATAGAGAATGCATATGCCTATGTATGTTTTCAGTTTGAGGAAGCACAAGATCTATGCACTACATTTTAAGGAAAAGATCAGATCAAAGGGAGCCACAAATATGAAACTAAATTTCATTGTTTCATGCTGCTATCCAAGTGCCAGTAGAGAAAACTTTCAAAACTCCCTGGGAGATCAATATATACCTTCCCTCAATTTTAACAGGATAAGTGCATCTAAATTTCTTGTGACTTCGAAAATGCCAGCTGACCTGTTTGTATTTAGAGAAAGTTCACGTTGCACTAATGGACACTGAAGAATATACAATATTTGACTATTAAAGGCCACAGAGTAGCACAAGGATCCTGATCCATTTATTACTTAAAACAGTTTCAGGGCTTTTAGCCATAAACTGCAGTATAACTTGTCTTTATAGAATAAAAGTTATTTAGCAGAAGGGGACATGACTTCTTATTACGCTGAAGTGAAAAGTCATCAGCAATGACATCCTCCATCACATACAAATAGGACCCTCTCTCTCCCTTCTAAGATATCATGATCTTTTTTCAGCTCAACCAAAAAAATCCCCAAACTTTACAATATACAAGCTCAAAGCTAAGAAAATGTATTGTTACAGGTGCTAATAGCCCTTTAGACTAACATGAATAACTAACATGTTAACACAACATCACATGATAACTAACATCACTAACACAAGTGCCAGTGATGCCCCTTTTTTTTTCTTTTTTACGCTACTTAGTTTGTCAGTAACTCAAAAAACTGAGGGGATTCACTATTGTCTTGATAAGTAAAATGTTAGGTTAAACGTAAAAGACATAAAATCATCAGACCAGTGTTTCACACACCTCTTAAACAGCCACAAATAATTAATCCAGGCAGATCAAGACAAAATATGACAAGGATAAATAATGCTTTCAAAACTCTTGCAATATATTTTTCATTTTCTAAAGACCAACTCACTGGAGAACAAAGTGGGAGGAAAATTTCAGAATGTATTCCTAGTAAAAAGCTTGTGGCTGCTCTGACTTGCTATATCAGGTATATTATCCCCATCTCGACTGCTTCATAATCCTGCAGCAGGCAGAAGTCAAGTAATTGTTTCTCACCTTTTTTTCTTTTGGCACTAATCCTCATCCCACATTATGCTTCAACACACATAAGATTCTGAACAGTATGTGAATTTCAATAATCAGATTATTTCTGAATCAGTATAGTTGGAGAAAAGCTCTCTACAGGCAGAGTTTCAGTATAGTAATGAAATAAATGAAAACTAAATTAATTCGCATGAGACTATTTTTAGTTAAGCAAGAAGAATCTTCAATCAATCGTGAAGTCAGTAACACAAAATGAATCAAACAAACATTAAAAACAAATAATCACGAAAAATATACGGAGACTACCTGAAACATGGGGTAAGTAAGGAAAGTTTCCAGCATTCGCCCCTCACAAGCTGGGTTGGCTTCATACTGCTTCAAGAGTTTGTCAAAGTCTCTGTTTTGCTTACAGTTTGCCAGTACTTGTAGACTATATTGATGATTCCGAACAAATTCTTGATATATGTTCAGCATTGGCAGCAGAATGTCAAATAAGTCAGCTAGAAAAAGTCAAGAAATGCTTTTTTTCCCCCAGCTACTCATCTCTTGAAATATATTTTTAAAGAAACTACTATGTTCTACGGAAGTGAATTACTATAATCAGTCCTGTGTCCAATATACTGAGATTTTAGAAGCATTAAACTCAGCTCTTTCATCTGCCAAAACATGGTTGTTCTGATCACATAATAATCAGACAATATCACTGAAAATTCAGGGGCCCATGTCTAATCAATGCTTAGGGCAGAGGCATTCTCATATACAGACTGGAAGACAGTTATTACTGCCCACGTGGGACTCGCACTACACCAGATCGTGTGGTGTCAGTTCTGGAAACATGTTCCATTCAAAAATGACTTTAAACAAGTCCTGTCTTAAAAAAAAAATTTAAAAAACCTACTGTAATTTCAAGAATAAAAATGAAAATTGTACCCCTAGAGAAAATATAGTAACTTACCAAGGATTAAGGTAGGCCAATTAGCTATTCTTGCTTTTAAGCCTTGGTGAAATATCTCATGAAGAAACATGATTGTTTCACTGAAAAATAAGTATTTAAGCAAACAGATAATTCAGGTTTTATTTTCTGATTAATAATTCACAGAAAAACATCTCTTCCTGGTTAGTAGCATGTTTTGCACTTTGCCAGAAAAAAACCAGAAGATAGTTGTTATTATTATGGAAGTGCTTCCTTTTATTGCATTGTTTAAAATTTTTAGTGTAGTATGTGTAAAAAATATATAGTATTTGGTGTAGAAAGGATATTCTAACTGTTTAGTTCTTTTAAAGAAACTCATCTCTTAAATAACATGTTCTATACAGTTCAATGAATAGGTTTTCCAAGAATATCCTTAACAATGCACTCAGCAGTTTAAGTGGACGAGTAAGATGCAGAAACCTTAAGCCAGTGGTAGTCATCTACATTCTTGCTTGCTGCTGTCTCATAACTAGAAGAATATGCTCTATTTCTTAGAAGTTTGGGGTAGACTTGGATGCAATCCCAATCCTGTATCAAATGTTAGATGCCTGCTGGCTTATTTGTACATACTCATTACAATAGTACTTGGATGCTTAATGCAAAGAACAATTCTTTTTCGTAGGATATGAAAAGACAAGTGAGAGGGAAGGAGGCTCCTTAGGCAGGACAACAGAAAATAGAAGATTTGATGTACTCATCCTAAGGGTCTTATCTGGATCATATGAGGCTACTAAGTCCAATTTTGCTCTCTTAAGAGAAAAAGAAACAGAAAAGGTGACAGAAAATTATGAGAACTGCCCCAAGAGGCACACTTTGTCCTTTTCTTCCTCTAGCAGAGAAAGAAATAGAATGTAAGGAGACAAAGAGGTCTAGCTGGTTTCAAACAGCATCACCAACAGCACCTTGCCTTTTACCCCTGGAATCATAGTCTACCTCAGTGACATTACTTACATCAGAGCAAATAAATAAGTGCCAGACCTCACTACTGTGCAGTGAAGCAGAATGGGAAGAAGCAGTCAGAGAACCCCCCCAAAAAGCAAACAAAACCCACCGTACCTGTTGAGGAAAATGCTACTAACATCATCGTGACTGATAGGTGGCTTCTTTGAACTTGCAGCCATTCTTAAGGGCCGCAGAAAGCAATTCACAAGAACATAGAGCTGATGCACATATTCAGATTCAGCCTCCACCATGTTAAAAACTATCTGATTCCTTTTTCTCATACTTTCTGCATGGGGAGAACAAATATAATCTTGGACAATAGTCTTCCATTTTCTCCTACATAGCCAGCCCCGCATAAAGCTCTGGACCTAAAAATGGACCAAACAGAAAAGAAGAATAAGAAAAAACATTACACGACTTAGGATAAGCTCTTCATTGTAGAAATAACCCTCTGAATGAAATTCCTCTGTTTAATAATAAAAAAAAAAGTCTGTTGCCCTTATTGATTTATAATTGCTCCTGAATAATCTTTTTTTAGATTTTTGTTTGTTAATGAATTTCCACAAACACCTGGTCATACTTGTTGCCAGGAAACAGATTGAAAAGATATCACATACATATTAAAGTACCTTTTACAGCAAGGTCAAATGTTGTCTTTGTATATACTCTTCCTATCAGCACAACTCTGCTACGCACTGTGCAGGGTTTTTAACTCCTTTTACCTCCCCTTACACATTTCTCTTATACTCCCAAAAACATTGTGCAAAGCTTCCAGGTAGCACATTTCAAGATAGATTCAATATCATTATTGACATAATCCTAAAATAGCTGTTAAACTGGTTTGCTTTCTCTTCTGAAGAAATACCACTTAGCATGTGTATTTAAAGCTAAATATCAATATACCGCTTAGTATTACACACTAAGGCCAGCCATACTATAATCCAGAAAAGTCAGATTTTTGGCATTCTTAAGAAGTATCTCTATGTCATGGAAAAATCTACTTAAGCATAATATCTATTGAAGTTACAAGGGGATTAAAGATTACAGAAAAGGTCTGTGTCTGGTCACAGAAAATTTCAGTATGTCTTTGCCCTGATCTTGATGTGAAGATCATTTATCTTGAAAGAGAAATGCAAAATCTCACTAGTAGCAGTTTACTCTGAATAAATAACTTTTAAAAAAAGGTCCAATTGTCAAAACAATCAAGATGTAGAATGCAGTGAATTATATACACAATCAGAGCTCTCCTTCTACTAAAAGAGACTGTTCCAGCTTCTGTTACAACGTTTAATCTACGTGAAAAAGAAAATTCACACAAGGGTACCAGCTAAGCGCTGACCCTGACCCAGACTGCATGACTCAGAAAAAGTCAGAAACTAAGTCCACATACCATAAAAGACATTAGGTAATTTACGAGACTGAACACTGTGAGAATAACAGTGACACATACGGGACCACATCTTCAAGCATGAATTCCATTCATGCTCCTGCATTAGGATTTGTGGGAGTCAGCGATGGGCACGGTTCTGGAGGCTGACTATATCCAGCCTTAAACCATATTACCAAAAGCTGCAAGTGTAAATCCTGTACAAATTTGGACAATTCTGTCCCTTTTATTAAAAACATTGGCCATAGTATCTGGGAACAATCACCATCAAACCAACTTGCTGACACCCTAAACCAAGACAGCTCTCTGTGTTTTCCATATTTGTATTCCAGCTACAGGGACAGAATATAAGTCATTCTCTGATGTCTTTATAAGCATTTCTAGAAGAAAGGAGTATAAAGTCACTATACACTTGATTCCCACAGGACATAGCTCATGACTTAATTTCAGTCTTTACAAGCAGTTGAATGCAATGTGCAAGCTTCTTTAAGAAACTGAGTATATACCTCTCAAGTTAAAATGAACACTTAAGTAACAAATACATCAGGGGATAAATGTGGCACTGAAACATAGGAAGCTGATGTAACTTAAGACATTTAAGTAGGGGCAGGGCAAAAGGAATCTGGTGATTTGACTATACTTAATGAAAATAAATGAAGACAAAAGTAGACAGACTAAAGTCCAGAAGTATACCTCCCATCCCACGTTTCTCCTCTCAAGCACAGAGGACTGCATGCTTACCTTTTTAATTTTTTTAATATCAGGATCATCATCTTCCTGGTTGCCTTGATAAGGTCGCATTCTTTCTTTTGTTTTATTGAGAGCTATAATCTGGCAAAAAGAAACATTCATTAAATACTTTCTCAAGTTAATGAAACTTTCAGTTACAGAACTAACAGATAAATATTTTCCCCTTCTTCAAGCCTGCCAAAGCTGCACAGAATGAGAAGCACATATTTGGTCACAGGGACATGAACACAGTTCTCTGAAAACCAGCAAGGCTCTTGATCCAGATGAAGGAAGGATGAGAAGAGAGCTGGTTCCCCTCTCAAAACCTAGTGTGCCTTTCAGACTTTATCAGCTCAGGTCTGCAACGAAATTTTTAATATTCAGTGAAATAGAGCAGTTTGAAATAGTTCTGAATACTGTCACAACCAGAGACAATGTGTTGAGGATCAAACTTACCGTGTGAAGACAGGTAGGAAATAATGCAGTCATTGGCACCCATACTGCAAAGCAATGTGTCATCTTAAAGTCTATGACAAAGAAGTAATCCAATCTGTTTAACAGTCCCCAATATTTCTAAGAAAAATATTTAGCTAAGGATTCATTGCGGGACTACTACATATTAGCCTTACTGGGTTCCGTTAATTCCACAAATATTACAGAGATATTGAGTATTATTGCAATGCACAAGTAAAATTTTATAATTGATGGCTCTGGCACATACCTCAGATTTAAGTCTTTCAATTTCTGTGTCTTGATCTTCAAGCTGATGTCGAAGCTGATTGGCTGCAATCTTTTCAGTCTCTACAATCTGGACAAGATGAATGTACTTCTGCATTAACACCTCCCTTTCAATGAGAATATCTGAATAACTAAAAGGGAAAACATTAATGTTAGTAAAAATAGCCAAATATTGTCTTCCATATCCCCTTATGAGATACTGACAGAATAAATACTGCACCAATGACAAAAAACCTGCAAAACTGTGTTTGGTTGGTTTAATATATAATGAATAGCTTGATCATAAATCATCCAAACTTATAGTGTTCAGTATCCTTTTCAGACACAGGCGCTAGCAGTACTCAGTTTCCCAGTATCGAGAGCAAGATAATTGCATTCATCTTTTTATGAGCTTCTAATTCTCAGGCTAAACCCAAGATTTCTATTAATTCAATTTCTTTTATTTATTTTAAGGAATGCTTTTTCCCAACTTTTGGAAGGACTTAGGGGGAGCATCTGTCACTTCATCATCAGACCTATTTCTAATTCTCTCCACCTGTCAGATCTCTTTATTGAAGAATTTCCATCATAACATCATTTTAGTTTGCTAACATCTTGTGTTGGGTTTGCGTGGCAAGGTTT